TAACAAAAACTAATTACCAAATAAAACATCAAACTAATTGAAAAGCTTAGCCAATGAGTAGAATACGTGATTTTAAATTTGAAATAAATAGTGTTGCCATTTTCTCAAATTAAAATTGAGAAATTAAATATTCTCCTACATTTTATTCTTATTTATCTTCCTACCATATCAAATATTGACATGTGTCATATTTAATGATACATTTAATGAAATTGATAACATTTTAGTCCACTTGTCACCACTTAATGTAGGTAGAAGGATAGTTGGAATGAAATGTAGGAGAATTTTTAATTTCTCATTAAAATTTGAATATGAAGCAGAATAGCAATAAATGTGTGCGTATATTTGGGAGATATTCATGGAAACCATTTTGAAATGACCAAGTTAAGAAATCGGAAAAGATGGGTACTTTGGATTGAGCGGGAAAACCATGAAATAGGTAAATCAGATGCCACATGGAAAATAACGTAAATCAGAAAGCCTATAAATTGCCACGTGTCAAATAACCTAGTTAGAAAGGGGACATGTGACATTTTTTGGTTTTGTTTATTAGATGAGGTATAGTAGATTTGGCAATTTAGATTATCTTTTAAAACAATTATTTTTTTGCTGTTTGTAACTTGTATCGTGTTGAACTAGTGATAGTATTTACTTTTTGTTTCAATGGCTCAAAATTATTTTGTATATAAAATAATTTAGTTTGTGTTATAATCTAGTTTGTTGTAACATGCAAAATCGATATGGTTATTTAACTTATTTTGCTATGGTTGCAATCAAGGTTGTTAAAATTCTAATACGATCACACATAGGTAAACTGATCCCAAACTTACTTGGATTGTTTTTCGGTAACATCGATGTAGGATAGTAGAACTAGATTCTAAGATCATATTGTCGATCATAAGTTTATAAGATTGTTACTATTTAAAAAGAAAATCTAATATTTTTCTAAAAACAACTACATAAAATATCATTTTGAATTATTTATCGTTAAATGCTGTATTGGATATGTGTTTTATGTTTTAAACTATTTGTTGTTAACTGAATGGTTAACTTATGGATGAAAATGTATTTTTTATATTTTGAAATACTTTTAATAGGATTTTACGAATTACGATCTTGGAAAGAAAAAAAAATAATCATGTATAAGATCATGATCTTGACACCTTGTTGGTTGCATTCCTATATGGATTGTATCTTGGTTTACATTTCATTAAGAGTAAATTACTGAAATAGTCCCTATGGTTTGGATAAAATTGCATGTTTAGTCCTTAATGTTTTTTTTGCATTCGGACCATTCTTATGTTATGTTTTTGTTTCGTTTTTTGGTCCCCGACCGAGTTAAAATGACCATACTACCCTTATATATTTCTTTTATAATACAATCTCATTCTTCTAGATACGAATTCATCCTGAAACAATATTATTACAAACATTAATGACGAATTTAATTAGTTTCTATAAAAGAAAATTATAATTATAAATATCATTTAATATACATATAATTATGGAAATTATTAATGTCTATCTTTATTTGATTAAATAATAATGTAATTTTTATTAAATTCTTATTGGTGAATGTTAGCATACAATAGATGTGAGAAACATTTTAATATATATATATATATATATATATATATATATATATATATATATATATAGAGAGAGAGAGAGAGAGAGAGAGAGAGAGAGAGTATCAAAAACAGAAAAATAAAAAGTTAATTGCAATTGAATTAACGAGTTAGTAAACCCGCTCAACCCGCCGGCAAAGTATCCATCCCTTCGGTACCGTCGACACCTATCTTAAGCCCACTTAGGGTCTCCCTAATTTATAATTTCCATTGATTATTGTTTTGGTCCTTGTAATTTTTAATTTAGGCTAATCACAATTTTGGTCCCTATATTTTTTAATTTGCATTAACTATAATTTTGGTTCTTGCAGTTTTAAATTTTAAATTTCACGACAAAATGTCACAAATGGTCATTTTGGTTTTAAATTTGTCCCCAACCCTTATGAATCTTTTTTTTTTTGCATGAATGATCGTTTTGGAAAAAACTTCGCACAAAAATTATCCTTATGACTAAGACAAAATACATAAAAGCACAACCATTTATCTATCAGCATTCAGAAAAATTCTTATATTTTGTTTATATGTAGAAAAAATCCTTACATTTTTAATTACCTTTCAAATTTACCCAAATATCCGTTTCTTTTAGAGTAAATTACACGAATGGTCCCCATGGTTTAGGTAATTTGCGTGTTTGGTCCCTAACTTATTTTCTTTTTAACTCGGAAGGTCCCTATTTTTTGTTTTTGTTACGCGCTTGGTCCCTGTCTTACATAAAAAAACTATTTTGCTCTTAATTTCTTAATTTATTTAAATAGACACACCCTAACCCTACCCCTCACATTAACTTACCTACCCATCATTTTTCCTATTTAAATAATAGTCTTTTTAGTTAAGATAGGGAACAAGCGCGTACAAAAAACAAACAATATGGACCAAGAGCGTAACAAAAACAAATAGTAGGGACCTCCCGAGTTAAAAAAAAATAAGTTAGGGACAAAGCGCACAAATTAACCCAAACCATAGGGACCATTCGTGTAATTTACTCTTTTTTTAAAGAAGTTTTTTTTCTTCTGACATAACATTTATTTTGTTTGTTTTTAGGTTGACATGGAAAAAATAAACGATGTCACTTATTTTTGCTTGAGTAATGGTCATTGAGTAAATGATATATTTTTCACATTCTACCTTAGACAAGAGGCAACGTCACTTATTTTTGTTTCCATATTAACATAAAAACGAAAATCATAAATGTCATGTGAGAAAACAAGCACTAATTTCTTTAAAAAACTGAATATTTGAGTTAATGCGAAAGGTAACTGAAAATTTAAGGGTTTTCCTGCATTTTGCCCTTATGACTAACGTCCGTTAAAAAGAGACGCTAACTCCCCATAAGAAGCATTTATGACATTACCTGAAACTTCACATAAGGTCTATTTATGAAGTTTTTCAAACTTTGCATAAAGACCATTTGTGAAATATTTAAAAAGTCTATTGAAGCATGTATTAATCTAGACAAAATTTCACAAATGGTCCTTATGGTTTTGATTTCATGTTCGAAACAATCCTTATGAAACTTTTTGTAACACTCAAAAATTCAAGTCAATTTAAAACTTTTTAAACAACCCAAAAACCATTAGTTATTACAAACTTGTTTTCAAAATGTATAATATCAGAGTATCCCAAAAACAGCATAAAAAGTGAGGAGCTGTACGATCACGCCTTTGCCTTGTCACGATCCCCTGATGCACCTGAAACAATAAACTGAAACTGTAAGCCCGAAAGCTTAGTGAGTTACCCCCAAAATACTGATACACATACAGTCCACATAAACATATCATAACAAACTGAACAGAACAGCATGCAATGGGTCCACAGCTTTACAAGTTTGATTACCCCTGGGCCCTCAGTATGAGTCTGGAATGCCTATCGGGCCCTCAGCTCGTATCTGGAATACCATCGAGCCCTCAGTACGAGTCTGGAACGCCTACCGGACCCTCAGCTCGTATCTGGAATGCTCCCGAGTCCTCAGTATGAGTCTGGAATGCCTACCGGGCCCTCAGCTCATATCTGGAATACTCTAGGGTTTGTTGGCTACCGCACGGAGCAATACCACCTCAACCCATCCCACATAACATGTCGACATGTAACAGATAAATGCACATACAGGTAATCAATCAGTGTCACAGGTAGTCCTACAGACCTACCCTCTAGCATATCAACTAGCATGCGTAACCAACTCATACTCAACATAATACAACTACTAGGATATCACATCCAATGGGCCGGGCTTGGTGCCTTAGACCCCTTAGTATAGTGAGGATAGCTCACCTGGCACTGCTGAATTCCCGCAGGTGAAGCTCTCGCTGCTGGTTGACAGATTCCTGAACTGTCCACATTAAACAATACCCACTTAATATTGGGTTCAAAAGTAAAATAATGGGCCAAAGCCTAACATATGGCCCAATTTTTCAAATTGGGCCCAAGCCTATTCATGGTCTTATTTTAAGCCCAACACCATATGGTCTTTATGGTCCAAACTATGGCCCATCTATGGCCCAATTTTTCAAATTGGGCCCAACCCCTTACATAGACCTTACCCTAGGCCCATTAAATTATTTTAGCCCATTTGCTTGTTCTTGGATGGCCCATTATTATCCCAATCATCAAAGCCCAATAGAAAGACCCAACTTAAGGCCCAAATGAAATTAGGATTTCACATAAAATGATGATTAAGGTTAAGTTTCTTACTTAACCCATTAAGGACTTAATCCATTAAGTCCATTATTGTTAAGTTAGTTTGCCAATGATTATTATTTAATATTTAAGCTTATTAAATAATTCCCGTGTGTGTGCCTCAATCAATTCCTAAAATTAGGGTTTCAAGGCATTGGGCTTTTAGGTCTATTAGGGCTTTATTGGGCCTATTAGGCCCACTAGAATATCATTAAGCCCATTAGGGTTTTATTGGGGTTCCTTAGGGTTTACAAGGCCCATTAGGGTTTCTTTGGTCCCACATTGTCCAAACATCCAAACGAGTCACAAACCAAACAAGGCACACCGCCACCCGACACGGCAGCCGGTAGCGGCAGGAGGCGGCAGCCACCACCCTACGGTGGTGGTTTGAGCTTTTCTTTTCATTATCCCTACTCTATTAGAGTACAATTTTACAATAACATCCAAATACACACACACTAATAACACACACACGCACACTAATAAACACACCACACACAGCCACCACCTCACGGTGGCCTGTGGTGGCAGAAATGATTTAAGGAATCAACCACCATGGTTGGCAGCCATGGTGGGTTTTTCCTCATTCCCGGCGAAGAGATCACACCCACCACGTTGTCTGGCTCGTAGATGAGTCCGTCAATTTATCTGGTGGCGAAAGGCGGCGGCGGTGACACAAAAGGAGGGCAGCAGCGACAGCTAGACGAAGGAGAAGGTGGCAGCGGGCTTGGCGACCGATCCGAGCGTCGGCAGCGACACAGAAAGGCGGACAACAGCGGCGCTCGCGGCGGCGGCGAGCCACGGTGACAGCAGCTGTGGTCGGCGGAGCTTCCTAGCGGCCATTTCGTGATACCGGCGAACATAAGAAGAAGAAGAAGATAACAGGAGAGGGGATGAAATAAACGCTATCAGCAGCAACAGCAAAAACAGATGGAGACGAGGACGGAGGAAGGTGGCAGCGGACGACACAACCTTAACAGCGGTCTTCAACGGAGCGAAGACAGCGGCGGTTCTCATCATCGACGTCGGCGATGCAGCAGCGAATCTGATGATTTCCGAGCTCTGTGATGCCAACAGCGGCGGAGGGGGATTGCTAGGGTGGTAGCGGCGACCGGAGGTGAAGAAGGGGGAGGCGGCCGGTGGTGGGAGACATAAGGGTGGAGGTGGCGGCTGGAAATAGGAGTTAGGGTTAGGGTTTGTTAAGTGTTCTTAAATGAATGGGAAGAAGGTGACGGGGGAAAGAAGGGAGTCGGGTATAAGTCCCGCTCCAAAACAACCTATGCACATTTTACATGTTTGGCCCCTCCTCATGAAATCTTTTTCAATCTAAGGCTAAAAGTTACAAATCAACCCCCATCATCCAAGATTTATAACAATACAAGCCCCGAAAGTTACCACATAGCCCCTCCATGACAATTTCTTTCCATTTTAGCTCCAGAACTTACTCTTTAGTCCCTGCTTCCCTAAATCCTTACATATTAAGTCCGAATTATACCAAACACCCCTTGACTTATGAAATCTTTACAAATCAAATCTCAAAATTACACTTTGACCCCCGAAGATTCAAATCTTGTCATTTGGCTTCCCGAAACCAACTCCCAGCTAATTATTATTTGATTTTTGGGCTATAATAATAGAAAATGATAATAACTATTTCTCGGGGTTTCCGGGTTTAGTATTTAATTATTATATTTTAAACGGGATGTTACACTTTTTGTTGACAGAATTTCACAAATGATCATTTCGCTTTTCAATTTTCCCTAACATAGTCCTTATGAATTTTTTTTTTTTTTTGCATGGATTGTCCCTTTGGAGCAAACCTTGCACACAAATGGTCCTTATGACTAAATTTGTTTACATATTTTCTTAAGTGCTTGTGAAATGACGAAAATACTCTTTGTTTTAGGCACTCAAGTGGTCCTTATAACTCTCTCTCTCTCTCTCTCTCTCTCTCTCTCACACACACACACACACACACAAACCAATCCGTCCCTACTAGGTACCACCTCATGGATAAAATAGGAGAATTCTCTCTTCTCGGTCACTTTTGCAACTCATCCAAGCAGTCGAAGTTCTCTCACAAAGCTCTCTCGATCATCAACGTCTCTGTCTCAAGTTCTTCAAGATTTCATCATGCCAAAGGTTCTATACGTCTTTGCTCCTAATGTTAATGTAGTCAAAGGCACCCATGGTCAATTATCTAACTACAGTTAGTAATAACTATATATTGTTGCATTTCGACAGGTATCCCCCCTCCTCCCGAAAAGGTTTGGAAAATCGGTCGTGAACTCACTTGTAATTTACGAAGCCGTTGATGTAGGGTAGAAACCGAAAGCCAACACTTCAAGAGGCGCTCGGGGCAGTGGCGCAAGGATCAATGCAAAGAGAAAATGAGTGTGAGGGGCGAGGAAAATGATCAGCCGAATCTTGCTATTTATAGCAAGTTTTGGAGTACGCGTTGCGCTTTTAACCATGAGCCACAGGCGGGGGGGGGGGGGGGGGGGCTACCATGTGTCGCCATCTCCTTGTGCCTCGTCACCCCGTATCCAGACGGATCGACTGTTATAATGTCCATGGGGCACTGCGCGCGAGCGCGTGTGACGGTAAAAATCCAACTTTGAAATTTCGTAACTCTCACATATGAACTCCATTTTCAATGACTCTTATATATCCTTGTAGGTCTTGTTGTCCTCTACAACTCTCTTTTTGGTCGTTTTGGCTAGTTTTGACTTTCGTTTTTCAACTAGTTTTTATTACCGTTATGATTTTATAAAAATCATAACTCTCTCATAAGGCTTCCATTTTAGGCGTTCTTTGTCTCATAATTCTTACTTTAAGTAGTATTACGAGTTCCTAGTTGGTGAAAATTTCCAAAAGTCAACAATTCTCCTTGTAGTTTTTGTCGTTGTAACTTTTTAAGTACGGTAGCTATTAATTTACTATAAAAGCCATATCTCACCCATACTGAGTCGGATTCTTGTGAAATTTATATTTCTGGAATCGTGGTGGCTTAAGGAGTCTAAATATGCTAACCTGCTCTTATAGTGACACGATTTTTTGCGCACTCATTTTGTAGCGTAAAGGTTGACGTAATTAAGGACGAAAAATTTGATTATATTAAAATTTATCGGATGGTTACAAGGTCGTCCTTATTATATTTTCACATTCTATTGTTAAATACTAAAGGCAGTTTATGACGTATTCTTTGGGTTGTCACATCCTTCCCCTGTTGAAGGAAATTTTGTCCCCGAAATTTAACTTGTAGTGCCTGATGTTGAAGCACCTTATTGAGAGGATCTTAATGGATTTAAAACTTTTGAAATTATTCCTATGGCGTAGCTTTATAGAAGTATTCTCTCTCTTCTTAAGGTTTGTTTTTGCAATGAGATTTGGAAATGTTTTAAGTTCTGTTGGGTGTTTGTCGACCAGCGAATGGTTGTTCCGTGAGGTAGTTGAATGTATACTCCTACTTCTAGTTCTTCAACTTCTTGTCATTATTTTAGTGTTTATTTGCTTAGAGTCCTATTTTTATTTTTTTACACCAAGAGGAAACCTACAGTTTTTATTGGTCAGTAGTGTTAAGGTTATATTGAACCTTTGCCTTGTTCGTTTTGCGATCTCGTCTATTTCAGTGCTTATAAACTTACTTCGAGTTGCGGTTTGTTTCGTATTAGATGTGGTGGTCTTTTTATCAGGATATCTTATGTTCATGTTACTTTTGAATGTTTGACCTATTTTAGTTTTTCCCGACTTTCATAAAGTTTGCTCGGAGCTCTACTTTTAACTAAATGGTGTAGAGTTTTTGAAAAGCAATGGAAATGTTATGGATTTAATTAATCTAGCGGATTGTCGTGAACTTCATAGTTTGCGTTTTTTTTAAATGACTAATCTAATACACTTCATGACCAAGTCTATGGGTTTTTTATTGCGTTCGTAGCAGTTATTTTGAGAGTCAGACTTCTATGATTCCTAGTTGTGTGACCATTCATGCCATAGCCCTTCAGATTTAGTTTTCTATTCTCTTTGTATGGTGGTATAGGTACGAATTTGTGGAGTGGGAGTTCCTCTTAAGGGTCACATTGTGGCTTTCCCTAAATGGCATGTTATACTATAATAGGATAGGACCTTCTTAACTCTAGTAAGTGTTGTGTTGAGTCTTCGAAGTTTTACTTTTTAGTGTATTCCTTAGGGTAGAGTTTTACGATCATTATGCTCTTTATATTCTTCTAAGGGATTGAGTATGCAGTATCTATTCCTGAGGTTCTTATATTAGTTTTCTACTTAGTTAAGTGGTATACTATGGGTGACGAGTTTAACCCAACTGTCCTTAGCATAGTTGCGGGTTTCTGGGATTGTTTCTACTTCTTTTACCTAATGGCCTAGGCTAGCTAATTCTTCATCTCTGTAGAAGGATCTTGGCTTGCTTCTCATGAATTCCTGGTAGATGCTTTTTTGTTGGTTGCTACCATGCTATAGGTATCTTCCTATTTTGTAGTCTCTGAAATTCCTTTTCTTCTTGTTTTTGTAGATGCTTCTTTGTTGGTTGCTACCATGCTAGAGGTATCTTCCTATTTTGTGGACTCTGAAATTCCTTTTCTTCTTGTTTTTCTTAATGATTTGTGGTTAACTTTTAGGTTGTGTTTGTGTTAGTATAATTTCTTTGCAATCTGTCTGTTTAACTTTTTTTTGTAGGTTTTTGTTGAATTAATTTGTTTTTCATTCTTTCACTATCTATTTTATCTATTTATTGTTTGTTTATTCCAGTTTATAGCTTTTTGGTGCATCTAGAGCTCATTTAATCGAAATAATGGGTATTTTAGGTAAGTTTTATAGGGCTTTAGGTTGAAAAGGGTCATGAAAATAGCGTAGGGTTTAAAAATGAAATTTCTAAATTTCTTGGGATGTACACTGCTCAAGCGAGTGTGCCACGCGCATTGGGACCATGCATATAAAATGCGCGTTGGTCCCCCCTTGTCGACGTGCACCTCCGATTTTCTTCCAATTTTCGTGATTCCGGGCCCCACACATGAGATTTGCACGTTGTGCTTTCTGAGTTTTGTCGTTTTCTTCCATCTGATCCCTCTTCTTCCCATATACACGTTTCCTAATTTGTAACACTTTTCTATTGATAACGGATCCTAATTACCCGTTTTTAGGTTTTTGGGGATTTTTCCGATTTTTGTTTGATAATGTGAAATTGATGGGTTAAATAGTTAGTATTTTGACCGATTATCATAGTTTTATAGTCGATTGTTGTTAAAACTTGTTAATTTGCCCCCAATTTAATGCATTTCAAATTTTTGGGAAAAATCTAGGGTTTTGTTCAAATCCGGATTTCCATTGTGTTTTAAACCAAATTGGTGACGTAATAGGACTATATACGTACCAAATATCGAACCCTAATGTTTATTAGGTTGAAATTTAGACGAAATCAGGCCTTATGAGCGATCTCTCGCCAACGTGTTCTTGGTGCACGCGACGCATCTTCAATAGCACACCAGGCGTCTTGAACTTGCATTTCATACCAAAATAGGTTAAGATTCACCATGTGAATTTCAATAAGTGTGTTGTATATATATATATATATATATATATTATATATATATATATATATATATATATATATAATTTCAATGTGAATGGTCTAACATGTTTTTTTTTTATCTTGCATATCTTTACTTTTTTCACTTGTAGTTGTAGGTTGAATATCTTTCACATTTCTTGTCAATTTCATTCTTTTCTTATAATCCTTTTTTTCGTTCTTCTTTTCTTCATTTCGTGTTTAACAAAGCAAGTCAAACAAGAGTTTCAAGATATGAAAGTTATGATTTATACGTATAATTCACAATGTAATTCATAAAAACTGAATTTGCTCAAAATTTATGTAACAAATTAATGATTTTTTTGATGCATCTAAGTACAAATAGTAAGAAACTATCATACTTTTTTAAACATAACAATCATGTATATTGTATTCTATTTATTGAAATAAAAATAGGATTTTGATTTAACGAATAAACTCATAAATGAGTTAGATTCACAAATTTTAGCAAATTACGGTTTGTAATTTATATATGGTTGATTTCTATAACGATTTAAAGAAATTTAACTCATTAGGTTTTCAATATTTATACAAATTCACAAAAGTTGATCATCCGAGGGTTTCAATTTATTGTAAATAGTTTAAAATGATTTCGTTAATAAAACGTTATTCGTAGATTCATCGAATATATACTGTAACAGGTAATCTAGATTTTAGGTTTTGAAATTTAGAAATAAGAAAATTTGTGGTTTCAAATTCATTAAATGAGATAATCAGGGTATAAGTGAATAATAGTCAAATATACATTCTAGTTTCATTTTTGATGAACTTTCCGATAATATTCACGGTTGATATCGACTGAATCGATGTCGACGATGCGTAAAAATCGATTTTTGATGATGAAGTAACTCATCGCTTTCAATGAGGGTAAAATCGATTTCACTGAGATGATACGGTAAACATAACAGTGTTAATTCACCATAAACGTTAATAAGTTTATGTTTTATAAAAATGCTCCCTTAAGTTCTGTGTATTCTTCCAATCAGCTACAGTTATGTATTTATTTAAAGTTTACAACCTAAATCTAGCCCCTTTATATATCGAACTATCTACAATGGTTCCATGGTTTTATAGTTTAAAATGATTCCTTGTTTAACCTCTCTCTCTCTCTCTCTCTCTCTCTCTATATATATAATATATATATATATATATATATATATATATATATATAATATATATATTATATATATATATATATATATATATATAAGGATATGTGAGACCACTATATTTTGTGAGACGGAGAGACGCAATCATAGCCATTTATTTTGTAGATAAAAAAAATATTTTTAAAATGAAAATAATTGAAAATTTTCGAAATTTTTTAAAAAAATATTATTTTCGTCACTTTTTTATCAAAAAAAATAAAAAAAATAAAAAAATTACTGTTTTTTTGAAATATATATGAAATATTATAGTAGAATATTAGAATATTTTATATATTTGACAAATCTACTAAAATAGTAGAATATTCTAACATTCTAAAAATCACATTGGAATATTTACAGTGTAATATTCTATAAGAATATTTCACGTATTTTAAAAAAAAAACGGTAATTTTTATTTATTTCTTTATTTATTTATTTAGGTAAAGAAAATGACAAAAATAATAATTAAAAAAAGAATTTTTAGATTTTTCTTTTTATTTTGCATTTTAAAATTATTTTTAGATTGCGTCTCACGGTCTCATAAAATTAACATGGTCTCAAATGAACATAAACATATATATATATATATATATATATATATATATATATTATATATATATATATATATTAGAGATTTAATTAATAATTTTAATTTTATATTCCCTTGCTTTGTTGTAAAAATAACTTAACATATAAAAGATAATAAGTCTTGTACTTTGAATTATATTAGAGATTAATATCAATATATTTTAAAAAATTGATGTTACAATATTTACTATTTAATGATTCATGATTTTTTTATTTAAATGTGAATCTTTTAACAAATTATTTTTTCTTAAATAGGGTAAATGTCACTGTGACCCAACCATCTTTCTAGTTATGGTTTAAATGGTCCTTATTGTTTTTTTTTCGCACTTGAGAGGAACCAAGACTTAAAAAACAGTTTTTAAAGCCATTTTGTTCAAAGTGGAAGGGTTGAGCCGGTTAACTTTATCCTATTCAGCATATTAGGTACACACGTCATCGAAATTAATCCACCTAAGCTGCCATGTAACCTGCTCGTTTACTGAGCTTGCCCTACAAGAGACATTATATAAAAACCCTCATTGTCTTCTTCCCCTTTTTGTCGTATTTTTTGTCTGCAAAATCACGTTGTCGTGGCGGTTTACATGAAGATCGATCTTCACTTTGCTGGGTTTTTTACAAGGCACCCCGAAATTAGTTATACGGATGGAGCAGAACAGAGGTTCGAAGATGTTGATTTTGATGGAATGGACAGGAACGAGTTTGTTAACTTCGTACAAAGATTTGCAAATGAAATGTGTGTAAATGTTTTTTTTTGCATGCCTGGAAAAGACTTTCCTGATGGATTGAGGATCTTGGCTAGTGAAATAGACTACCAGGACTTCATCGAAGCTGGGTATGCTGCTGGTTGTGTCGTGGATGTATATATGGATCATCTAGGTGTGAATGTCCAACAGTGGATTATTGATGAGCAAGTTGATGAGAGCGTTGTAGAAGACAATCATTATGATGGATTTGTGCAGAATGGCCCAGATGAACTGCAAGGTAATGTACACGATGACCTTGAACACGTAGATTGCAATCCAATGAATAAGACCATTAACGATGAGTTTTTGAGCAAGCTATGCCCAAAAGTGCAGTCAACTCCAAACAGTCCACCTCATGAGGATCCATATCTTCAAATGGAAGAAAATGAGGTAAATATTGAAGAGGTTACTACATACAATGAAAATGTGCATTGGAAAAAACAAAAACCTGTGTTAGGAATGCGATTTCATAGTCCAAAACAGTTAAAGCTTGTGTTATGTAATTATGCTGTTGCTAATGGGTATCAGTTGTGCTACAAAAAAAATAACAGTAGAAGACTTTTAGTTAAATGTTGTTCTGGGCAGTGTAAGTTTAGGCTATGGGCTTCATGGATGAGTGAAGAAAACTCTTTCCAGATTAAGTCCCTTCTAGAAGAGCATAATTGTGCTAGAAATTTCAAACTTGGATCAATTGTTAGCTATGCTTGGATTGGTAGCCATTTTACAACTGAGTTCTTACAAAAACAGAAAATGAGTGTTAGGATGCTTAGGGAAGAGGTGAAACAGGCTTTTGGTATAGATGTAAGTATGGGTCAATGCAGGAGAGCAAAAAAGCATGCTATTGAGCTAATTGAAGGCACATTGGTTGAGCACTATTCAAAGCTTTGGTCATATGGTGAGGAGATAAGAAGATCAAACCCAAGATCAACTGTGAAAATGGATGTCAATACTATGCAAGATGGGAAAAATTATTTTAGTAAGTTTTATGTATGTTTTGAGGGACTAAAGCAAGGGTGGAGGGGCAGTTGTAGAAGAGTAATTAACCTGGCTGGATGTTTCCTTAAGGGGATATGTACTGGAGAGTTAATAACTGCAGTTGGAAGGGATGCTAATAATCATATATTTCCAATTACATGGGCAGTTGTGTGTGTTGAAAACAAAGAGAATTGGAAATGGTTTTTGGAAATTTTTAAAAGATGACTTAGGAATGGACAATGGTTTTGGAATTGCATTGATGTTAGATCAGCATAAGGTATGTTTCTTAGTTGTATTTTATTTATTAATGAAAGTTGCCTATACTATTTTACCAATTCAATTCTTAATGTGAAGGGACTATTGGAAGCTGTGAAGGAGATTTTGCCTAGTGTTGAACACAGACAGTGTGCAAGGCATGTTGTTGCCAACTTTAGGAAAAGATTCCCCGGAGTAATGTATGAGAAGATGTTTTGGAAGGCATGCAAGGCATATACTGAGCCTTTACACAATGCAGCAATGAAGGAAATACAACTTCTCAATCATTCAGCATTTGAGTATCTAACAGAAAAAAACCCACAATCATGATGTAAAGCTTATTTTGAGGAGGGCAAGATGTGTGATGCTGTAGAGAATGGGTTGTCGGAGAGCTTTAACAATGTCATAAGAGATGCAAGGAAGAAACCAATCATCACAATGCTTGAAGAGATTAGATTGTATGTTATGGAAATGCAGTTTCATTTGAGCATGAAAGGCAGTTCATGGCCAGATTTTGAACCATGTCCATCAATTACATCATTACTGAATCAATTGAAAAAAGCTCAAAGGTAAACCTACTTTGTGTTTGTTAACATCATAGAGAATACTTAACTTAGACTAACTTTTAGACAATGTTATTAGATATTGGCAGGTTTTACCAACTGGTTTGAACCAATTTGAGACAAGAAACTTAGCAGAGTCTTATGTCGTTGACTTAGACAAGAAGACATGCTCTTGTAGAGTTTGCAACTAAATGGGCATGGGTGTGTGCACTCAGTTGCAACTATTAGTTACCTAAACATAGATGTCGGAAGTTATGTGGATCTCATGTTCTTTGGAGCTTATAGAAATGCTTACAAGTATCCACTGAGAGGGATGAATGGCAGCAATATGTGGCCAAGTACCAGTTTCATACCACCACTGCCACCTTTGAAAAGGAAAATGCCAGGCAGGCCTAAAGTCAATAGAAGGAAGGACCCAGGAGAAAAGACTACTAGACACACTGTGTCAAAGGTTGGAAGAAAATTCTATGTAGTGTGTGTAAACAAGTTGGTCACAACAAGGCTACATGTCCTAAAGTTGAGAAGCCCAAAAAACTCAAGGTAAAGAGAAAGAGATCAACTACTAAAGGTGGTAATGAAGAGGAAGGAAGTGGTTCAAAAACAACTGTTGGACGTAAACGGAAGCAATCTGAAGGTGGTAATGAAGAAGAAGGAAGTGGTTCAAAAACAACAGTTGCATGTAAATGGAAGCAATCGGAGAGAATTATAAAGAAAAAATTGGCAAAAAGGGTTGAAGGGAAAAATGGAGAAGGAAATTCAGGTGACAATCCAATGAATATTGAATAGACATAATTGCTATTTGGTATTGTGTTAAGACTAGGTTGGTTGTTTGATGTGTTATTTAAGTTTGTTTCATGTAGTACTATGTTGGTGAAGTGAAAGGCTATGTGTGGTCCCATACGTTTATTGTTATTTGCATGTTTGAATGTAATGCACAATCATGGGTGTAAGTGTTTTATGTTGTGTGTTTCGTAGTAGTATTATGTGGTATGTGTTTGTTGAATGTTATTTTATGTACACTAGTAACACAAAAAAACAATGACACACAATAACAGGGCACTTTCATTTATTTAATAGGAAAGGGATTACAAATACATTGGTAAACATGTAAGGGATTACAAATCCATTACATACCCATTACAAATACATTGGTAAACATGAAAGGAAACCATATTAGAATTAACCATAACTTCATCTTAATAGGAAAGGAAACCATGTTTAATAGGAATGGGATTTCAAACCCATTACATACCCATTACAACTTGTAGACTAATACCACAAAAAAAACAGCCCAACTTAGAAATAACCATAACTTCATCTTTCTAACATCAGATTGAAGCTTCTTATTTGCCAGAACCAAATTTGTAACCAAAGTTGTGTCACCAGTCGTGATCGTACTCTCCACTTCATCTGCCCAACATATGAAGCCATCACGAGGCCCCTACAGTGGAAGTTATTATTTGTTATGGATTAAGTTACCAAACCCAGAAACAAATTATCAAAATCTAGGTCAACAGTTAACATGCAATTTACATTTACCTTTTTGGGGTAAGCATAAAAGAGTCGGCCAGGGTTGTATTTAGTAGTTGACGTTCGTAATATTGCTTCACATCCACACGGGCATTCAACTGATTTCATCGAACCCTTCATTTCAGTGAGGTCACTTGACCGGTAAGAAGAACAGGAGAGCAAAAGAAAGCTTATTAAGTCCACATATGTGTCTGAAACATGAGTATATGTAAGGGTAAATTGTGAAATGACGAAATTACCCTCTTTCACACTAATTAACTGTAATTTCCATTAAGTACTATTTTTCCATTAAATAAACCTGGTTACAATGTTACTTTATACAAAATTGCATGTGCTTAGACATGTCTTCAATCACCTTCGCCAAAACATACACATAAACCCTAATACAAAGCATTATACTACCAAAAGAAGACACATCCATACCTAATCAACACAAACAGTACTAACCACCAACATAAACACCAACATATCAGGGGTTCACGATACGAAGAAACTTCTCCACCATAAAACCAAAAGTCACAATCACAAGTCCAATCACTAATACAGTCAACGAAGTCACCTTTTTCTCCGTGCGCTCAATCCGACGATGCAATGCGAGTGACTCAACCCTGCTTAACACCAAATCTCGACCCATTTCTTCTTTCAAACGGGCGACTTCCATTTTCTGCTCTGCAATTTCAGCTCCACAATCACAATAAATCGTATGCAAATCGCCGAAGTTGAGACGGTCTCGTGAATTTATAGATATTGAATCTGGTGAAAGTGGTGGTGGGGTCGCCATCGTGACTCACGTGAAAGCGAAGTATCGAGGTTATGTCGGATTGTCGGTAACCTTTAGTGGAAAAGGGTATTGAAGATTTAGGGTTTCATCGAATAAGCCATTGCTTTTATGGACTGATGGGTCCACAGTGACCCTTAGGCCCCAAGCAAGGAACCGGTCACAACTTAGTGACATGTATACAAGTTAACTCAGACTCAACTCACTTGCTGAATATGCTTATTACGTGTATGGTTTACCTGTTAAAACAGGTAACTGGACCAACTTAGCCGGTAAAGTAAAACTTGGTTCCTCTCAAGTGCGAAAAAAAAACAATAGGAACCATTTAAACCATAACTAGAAAGATGATTGGGTCACAGTGACATTTACCCTCTTAAATACAGTTATATTGATGTGCAATTATTAATATTGTAATATTAATGAATTTCATGTATTTTAGGTAAGAAACAAGTGTTAAAAATGAAAAATGGAAAACAACAAAAAAATGATTATCAAATTATGAGCGAAAAAAATTTATGAAAAGGTAACGAATATCTGTGTACAATGTTTTAAAAATATCATTACACTAAAAACTTCATGAAAAATTAACAAACTATAACTTTTGTTTTTAAAATACCATTGTGAACGAAAAAATGTTATTTTAGGTCAAAATTGTATTTTAAAAAGAAAAGTTAAATGTGTAATTCCTTTTTATATCCTTGACATCTCTGCCTGACCTCATGAGTTTTAAAATGGACATACATGATGACTTGATTTTACCCTTGACATCATCTAACCCCGACTCATGTAACCACTCTTTATGTAACCCTCTCATCTAATTTTGGTGCAGTAGACCAATATTCAAAAACAAAATTATTCATTTCATTGGGTGATGGTTAATTATCATAACCCTAAATTTAATTTTTTACATTTAAATTAAAATTTTCATACTCAAAATTTGTATCCTAATAAAACAATTTAGAAAAATATATATATGCATGTTCTTCACCAAAATCAATGTTTTACCAAAAATTGTCAATATTTATGTCATGATGTCTAGGTTGTTTTATCATGGTTTCTTTCAAAACAATATCTCTAATATTCATATCCAAATCTCATGATTTTTTAAATTTAGGTTACTTGTAAGTGATGATGGCTCGTGTGAATGTCTATATTGAATATTGCTCGAATAAGATTGACCAGATAGGATCATACCTCATATCTCCTAAAGTTCTTGCACTCATGGGAAAGGACTTGAGACGACTCATCCAAGTTCCTTCCCACGAATATATATATATATATATATATATATATATATATATATATATATATATATATATATATATATATATATATATATAAACGAACCTCATTAACATTTAAAATGTCGAGAACGATTTCCCATTTCAATTTGCTTAGCGCGTGCCAACGTTTTATCCTCGATGTATCTTTGTTCCTACTCAACACAAACTTTGCATGTATATATGGAAACATATCCCAAATCTTTACCTAACATATTATTTGCATGGTATGTTAATATTTTAAAAGTAAGTTCAATACTATATATATATATATATATATATATATATATATATATATATATATATGTGTGTGTGTGTGTGTGTTGTCTACTATTTCCCAAACTTTATAAATAGATTAGTAAATCCAAACATGTATTTTGATACTTTTAGTGGCTATTTAATCGGAAATACTCATCAATTTTCCTCTAAGTTTCAAGATCTACATAGTTATTTTCCCATATATAACTACCCCATACGTACGTATAATATAAAAATATAATATATAACAATTTATAAAAATTTAATATAAAAACGTTGTATATGTTCTATTTATTATCGATCAAACAAAGCAATTATTTAGTTATAAGATCTTTTTCTTCTTTCTTCAAAAACCCTCGAGACAAAGTGAAAAAAAAAATACATGTTCTCACGACATCATTGTCGAAAATGTTGAAAAATCCATTGTTCATTACTAAACTTCTAAGATCGGTTATGGTTAACAAAGTGTACGTTTTTTTTCCTGGGAATAGATGTTTTCGAAACTTAGATGTTTTGTTTTGAAATATGATAGGTTTTCTAAATATATTGTGCTTTTTTCTAATACCAACCGAAATGAAATCTTGTTATCAAAGAAAACTCCTCTGGTCCATACAACAATCTGTATTCTCTAACTTGACAATGTATTTTTTTTATTTCGTTTATTTCTGATATTGATATTGCACTGAGATGTATCTATTTTTTTGAACAACAACAATTCTTAGTACCAACCAAAAACACAACAAGAAACTGGAATGAACACAGAAACACAATTACATATTGGAAGAAGCAATATGAGGGGTATTCAACGACTTAGTCCACGAAAAATTACAAGACTTCTTCCTATTGGCATAACAAAAAATGAAAAGTATACTACAGAGTCAAAGATTACACTTTGCTTAGGCTTAACGTGATAAAATAAACAAGTTTATTCCTGAAGCTTAAAAGCACGCCATAGCAAGCCCCTACTACTGCATCAAAGGCTTTGATAACCTTCGAATTTCCTTGAAAGTTTTCCACCATATTCTGTAACCGTCGGTTACAAACCGTAATGCCCCACCAAAGAAAAACTTTATGTGTCAGTTGGACGGCTACATCACAATCATGAAACAAGTGATGGATAGATTCCAAAAAAAAAATCACTTGCGATTTAATACCTATTAACTGAGATTTCCTCTTAGTTTTCTATCATTTACATTATTTTCCTAAAACTATATATAAACACATCCTAAATATATTAAACACGAATAAAACATAAAATAAGTAGATAATTTACAAAGTTTTGGTGGAGTTAATCACAGAGAGTAAGAAGGATTTCTTCAAACTGAAAAATGCAAGTTGCTTCAAGTTTTGAGGTTTATATAATTTGGGCCCAAATTGCATGCTTTTAAGGTGATATATCATGTGATTATGTCCAAATCACTTGTGAGCCTAATGATATGCAATTTGAGTGGCTAAAAAAAATCATAATTTTTGTTATCTTTATAAGGTTTCTTACTCACTCTATTGAGTTACAGTCGGGTTCTGCAAAAAAGCATTTCGACTGGTCTGCAACTAGTCGTTGATGGCCGACCGATATTTGTCCATAAGAGTTTTACCAACCCTAACATCTTATAATGTTATTGGCTAATTTTGACTAAGACTACAGGGTATTGGCAACGCCCACCAGGGCGTTTTTGCGCGTTATAACGCACAAACACCGCCCATCTTCACCGTTTTTGGACGTTATATGCATGCACGTTGTTTTCCGTTACCACCACAACCTTCATTTAATGCTGTTTTTTTTTTCTCTAAAAATGACGGGCCCACACCTAGCAGCCTAAATAGTTAGATTATTTGGCTATTTTTTTAATGATATATATTTGTTTATTTTGCTAAATCATTAGAATATTTGGCTATTTTTTTAATGATATATATTTGTTAATATTGTAAGTAATTAAGCGATACAAATTTACACATTCAGGTACCCATGCAAAATTAATAAAAGCACTAGCCGGAGATGGAATAGAGTTGGTTTGAGAATTAACTTCAATACACAGGGAATTGAAATTGAAATCTGTTGGAGTTACACATAAAATCGTAAAATCGATAATTTCATATTTCACCATACAGGCATACATACAAATTTATACAGAGCTAGTGTGTGTGTGATGGAGAGTTTGAACATAAAGATCGCATTAAAACTCTTTCTCTCTCTCTCTCACTCTCTCTCTATAGAAAGCAATAAAAACTTGAATCGTCCATAAATGCAATTGCATCCTCTCAATACGCTCGGCATTAACTCCTCTTTCTCTGGTTGCAACTTCTTCAATTCTCCCACCTGTTCCTTTCCTCTCTCTCTCTCTCTCTCTCTCTCTCTCCCTCGCTTCATAATCTCCTCTTTTTTCTCATCGGTTTCTCTCTCTCTCTCTCTCTCTCTCTCTCTCTCTCTCCTTAAATTATATTCACAAGAAAGGTATATCATCAATCAAACCCTCGTCTGAAAACCACTCTTTTACCCTGTCAAAAGTGGTTTTCCGTTGACCCTTTACACTCTTTTACACTGGAGTACTCTACAAAAGCAAGATAAAAAAGCCAGTAAGTTTGTTGCGTATAGATATATATACCACCTTTCTTGACTTGCTGATGTTATTGGTGTCTTTTCGATTCGGCACACAAACAATTCCTTTTTTCTCTCACTTTTTCCGTTACTTAACGTTTGATGTTATGGAGATATCACTGTGTGAAATGAAGGTTTTTTGGGCAAGATTTTCTCTAATTGGGTCTTTGGATGGAATACGTAAAAGGAAGAAAGATGGATTGGAGCTTTGACATTGTCTTTATTTGCTAAAAAGTCCAAAAACTGTTTGTATTTGTCAATTCTAGTCCTTTTTTACTCTTCATATTAAGTCATTCACTCAGTTGATTTACCAAAAAGATAACCCAAAACCAAAAGAAACTCTCTTTCTAGAGAGAGAATTTTTTGGCTAGGGTTTGTGAATGTTCAGAAACATATATTTTTTTTGTCGGATCATGTCTATATTATTTTTTCTGTAATGTTAAGAACGATCAATAACAATGGTTTGGTTTTGATTGTGTTTTAAACTTCTCTCCGTGATAAGGTTTGTGTCCTGTGACAAATTTCGGTTTATTTTCTTTCTTCTTTTTCTTCATCTTCTTCACACAATCTTGGTTTCATCCATTAAGTTGTTGCTCATAGCCTCATAGAAATTTTAGTTTTATTTTTTTTATTTAATTTGTAAAACGAAAAGTGAAGTAATCTGGAGATCTGCTGATGAGCTTAGTTGACATAACTTCTTTAATTCTTTCTGTTATTTTCAACCATAATCCTTTTCGATAAATTAAAAAGTATTTTAGAGAGAGAGAGAGAGAATGGTATTCAACTTTTCTTGCTTTTGAAGTTGACTTTTTTCTCACAGAAAACCATAGATCTGTTAACCCCGAATAAATTCATTTGAGTCCCTTGGTTTATGCAAATTCCCATGGTCTAATTCCATTTCTTATGTTCTCTTGATCTCACCGTTTTTTTTTCCTTGAATTTCTTTAAAATATTAATATCTAATGACCATTTCGTAACTCGTAGTTTGCTGTTTGTAGATTTGTATACGATACTTCAAGTAAAACCCCTTAGAAAGAGGTGAATAGAAAGATGTTTCAACCGAATATGTTTGAGAGTCATCATCATATTCTTGATATGAGCCATAAAGCCCAAGAAAATGAACTCGACATGTTAAGAGATGATGATTATGAGAGCAAATCCGGCACTGATATCATGGAAGCTCACTCCGGCGATGAACAAGATCCTAATCAACGACCCAACAAAAAGAAACGTTACCATCGTCACACTCAACATCAAATCCAAGAAATGGAATCGTATGTTCTTTTGCTAATTAATTAACCCTAACAGATATTTTCTTATTTTTTTTATATGGGTAAATCAAGATTTGGTGTAGTAGAACATACAGGAACACCTTCCTGGGTGTTTTACAATTTAAAGTTGGAATTGATTGATTTCTTCACACTTTTGTGTAGGTTTTTCAAAGAATGCCCACATCCAGATGATAAGCAAAGAAAGGAACTTGGCAGAAGATTAACCTTGGAGCCTTTGCAAGTCAAGTTTTGGTTCCAAAATAAACGCACTCAAATGAAGGTGATCACTAAATTACGTTTTACAGCTATTATTCCCAAAATATAGCATATAGTAATCAGGAAATATCAGCTTCCAGTTAATTTATACAACTTTTCTAACATACTAAACTTAGCTTGATACCAAAGTTGTTTCTTCTTGATTTAGGCTCAACACGAACGCCATGAGAACACACAGTTGAGGAATGAAAATGAAAAGCTACGATCTGAAAACATACGCTACAAAGAAGCCCTTGCGAATGCTACTTGTCCAAATTGTGGAGGTCCTGCTGCTATTGGAGAGATGTCTTTTGACGAACAACATTTGAGGATAGAAAATGCTCGGCTACGTGAAGAGGTATATGAAATTTCACCATGTTTGTATCAAGATAGTTAATTCAAAGATAGCTTGAGTATTCAACTAATTTGGTTTATTTTTTTCTAAAGATTGATAGGATATCGGGAATAGCTGCAAAATATGTTGGAAAACCAATGTTGAGTTACCCAAATATGTCGCCTCATGGTTCAACTCGCTCACTTGACCTTGGGGTGTCTAGCTTTAGCCCACAACAGACTATGGTTGGAGATATGTTTGGTGCGAATGACCTTCTTCGGTCAGTTTCAGGCCCAACTGAAGCTGACAAACCAATCATAATCGAATTAGCAGTTGCAGCGATGGAGGAGCTAATAAGAATGGCTCATGCGGGTGAACCCTTGTGGGTTCCAAGCTCGGATAACTCATCCGAGACTTTGAGTGAAGATGAGTACTTGAGGACATTTCCCCGAGGGATTGGTCCAAAACCATTGGGATTGAAGTCCGAGGCTTCAAGGGAATCTGCGGTTGTCATCATGAATCATATCACTCTTGTTGAAATTCTAATGGATGTGGTACAATTCTAATTTGATGAAAATAAATATTTTTTAAGTTGAAATATTAATTGAATATGATCTGATCACTCTTTGTGGTTTTTTCAGAATCAGTGGTCGAATGTGTTTTCTGGCATCGTTTCAAGAGCAATGACCCTGGAAGTGCTGTCAACTGGAGTTGCTGGCAATTACAATGGAGCTCTCCAAGTGGTAAGCAAGTTTGGTTTCAAATCATAAAAATTAATGGTTCATTTAATTGGAATAAAAACTTGTTTATTTGGTAATGGAGTATATATATATATATATATATATATATATATATATATATACCATTTAAAAGAGAAATGATTTCTTGTATTTTGTTAATTTTTTTATCTTACCTAAAGGGTAATTTTCCTTATTGGTAGGCAAAAAAGTGCAATATAACTTTATTTATTTATTTATCTGTATATGAATTACTATATATACGAAGCAAATCTTTTTTAGTTTCACTATTTTAATTATATTGCAATTTTTTTAAAATATAAATTATTTGTTTTATTATAATGGTATTTGGAGGCCAAATTTCATGAAAATGACCCTGTTTGGATTTATTTATTTATTTAATGTTTAACCACATAAATAATTTATATCTAGTTTATACACATGAGTGTTTTTTTTAGAATGAAACAGTAAGTTTTATTCCATTAATGGTTGCAAAAAAAATGGAAAAGTATTTTTAAGGTTGAAAATGGTTCTTTTTTAAAAATTAAATCGAAAAACAAAGTTTTATTTGAAAGGTTAAGTCTAAAAATTTCCAACTAATAGTGATTTTTATAAATTTCAAAATTTTATAAATTGGTTTTCATTGAAAAAACATAAATAAACTCATATTGCTAAAAAAAAAAATCTTTTGGTGGTTAATTAAACTAAAGAAAAAAAAACTAGAGTGGTTTTTATGGCATTTTCTATTAATTTAATAAGCATTTGCTATATTTAATTTTACATTCTGTAAATAAAATAATTCATTATTACATTTAAATAATGTACGACTTAGTAACATTACATTTATATGCACAACAAAAAATCATAGGAAAATACATTTCATACATAGTTCACTCATTCTATTACATTATCATTTCCATTTCCATTCGATTTCTTTTTCATTTGTCAGATGACAGCGGAGTATCAGGTTCCTTCACCACTTGTTCCAACCCGAGAAAACTACTTTGTGAGGTACTGCAAACAACACGCCGATGGTACTTGGGCTGTAGTCGATGTATCTTTGGACAACTTGCGGACTTCATCAATTTCAAGATGTAGAAGAAGGCCTTCTGGTTGCTTGATTCAAGAACTTCCCAATGGGTACTCAAAGGTACGTACAATTTCTACACAATATTTAAAGATTCCAAAGATTTAGTAAAGGAGAAACCTCACTACAAAATGAAAATGTATATATAGGTTATCAACGTACGTATTTGTTTTTTATTTATAGGTCACTTGGGTGGAACATGTTGAAGTCGATGACAGAGCTGTTCACAGTATCTATAGGTTACTTGTTAACTCCGGCCTTGCATTTGGTGCAAAAAGATGGGTAGCAACTTTGGATAGACAATGTGAGCGTCTTGCTAGCGCAATGGCTAACAACATTCCTGCAGGAGATGTGGGAGGTTAGCACTAATCTACAAATTAATAATTTTGGTTTTTTTCTTAACAAAATTCAGATGATTTGGTGTCACAAAATATGTGATTCTTCAATCTTCAATGATTTGTTTATTTCATTCGACAGTGATAACCACTCCAGAAGGGAGAAAGAGTATGCTGAAGCTGGCTGAGAGAATGGTTTTGAGCTTTTGCAGCGGTGTCGGAGCTTCAACTGCACACACATGGACAACTCTGTCAGGTAGTGGGGCCGATGATGTCCGGGTTATGACCCGGAAGAGTATGGACGACCCGGGAAGACCTCCAGGTATTGTGCTGAGTGCTGCCACTTCCTTCTGGATACCGGTTCAACCAAAACGGGTTTTTGATTTTCTAAGGGATGAGAACTCTAGGAGCGAGGTAACTATTGAAGACAACTTTAGAGACTTTTATGATTTTAATCTTCATATCATGGCGTTAAATCGTTAATTACTCTATGATCTTTGCTATAACCAGTGGGACATTCTTTCAAATGGTGGACTAGTTCAAGAAATGGCACACATTGCCAATGGTCGTGATCCAGGAAACTCTGTTTCTCTTCTTCGTGTTAATGTAAGTTTCATCCTCATCATGAACGTAGGTCTAGAAAACTATATGTGTAGTTATCTAATATTCTAACCAGTTCATTGACATTTGACGACTTGTGAATATTATAGAGTGCGAATTCAAGCCAAAGCAACATGCTCATATTACAAGAGAGTTCAAGTGATTCTACGGGATCTTATGTTATATATGCTCCAGTAGATATTGTAGCCATGAATGTCGTGTTAAGTGGGGGTGATCCAGATTACGTTGCTTTGTTACCATCTGGATTTGCTATACTTCCTGATGGACCTGGACAAGATCAAGGAGGAATTCCTGAGTTAGGAACTGGTGGATCATTACTAACGGTGGCATTTCAGATTTTGGTAGATTCGGTTCCTACAGCGAAATTATCACTTGGATCGGTAGCAACAGTTAATAGTCTTATCAAATGCACAGTCGAAAGGATCAAAGCTGCAGTAGCGTCTCCATGAAGACATTCATGGGGTTTTTTTTAAAGGTACAATTGTCATCTTTCTTCGGTTGAAGGTTATTACTTTACTTATTCCCTCATTTTTAATTATTTTTAATTTTATTAAGCGTTGATTGTGGGCATTGCAGAGAGTGTTTAAGGGAAGTGGAGATGAAGATGTAGACAGGCAGTGTTCACTCTTTCATCTTTTGAACAAAATGGAAGAAGTCAAGAACGCACCTAAAAACGACCCATTGAAGTGTGGTGATTCTGTCAATCTGAAGTAACGGATACAAGAAAGCACGGTGATCAACATCCTTCAAGGGTTATGGGTTCGGGTATTGACTTTGCCTATCTTGAAAGATGAAAGCGTAAACTAAGACCTTGTCACAGTTAAAACTTCCGGATATTTTCTTTTGCTTTAGGGTTTTATCAGAGGTTTTTTTCTTATTGTAATTGTGTTTTGTAGTATTTGGTTTTTAGTCTCAAGACCGTATTTGGTTTCTAGTCTCCGGATTTTTAATCCTAACTAACGATTCTCTACTTTTTATTAATTTCGTATCATCGTATTGTTTTTTGCCCAAAGTCTATAGTCATTTATTGTCTACATCATATGCCTATACGTGGATCTTTGTATGTCTGGTGGTAACAAAAACACTCAAAAAAAATGGAGTGGATCGTGAGTAATTTTTTAACTTTGACTTATATTTATTATATCATTAGTGTAATATCTATGTATTATATGAGTTAGTTAAAAAAATTAAATATAAAGATCTAGATATTTAAAGAACTTTGGATTTATTAGAAAATAAAAAAATAATGAATTATTAAAATTGATTTTTTTAATCTTTTAAATTTAAATAAATAAACAAAATAAGTTAATGAACTTTAATTTGAGAATTTTGAAATAAAAAGGTAAGTCCATTAATAAAATTGATATTCATTTATTACTATATTTATAGTAATTATTACGTTAAAGTATTATGTGAAATTTATTAAAATAGAAAAACTCATAAAATTAAATGTAAAAAAAAAATAATTCAAAATAACCAAAAAATGACATTTGACAAATTGAATGAGAGTATGATATATAGCAAAAAAAACCTTTATTTATTAGAGTAGATTAAGTGTAAGACTCATATATTACATGAGTTAATTAAAAAAATTAAATATAAATGTATATTTAAGAGTTTTGGATTTATAAGAAATAAGAAAAATAATGAATTATTAAAATTGATTTTTTTATATTTTAAATTTAAATAAATAAACAAAATAAACTAATGAACTTTAATTTGAGAATTTTGAAATAAGAAGATAAGTCCATTAATGAAATTGATATTTATTTATTACTACATTTATTGTAATTATTACATTAAAGTATTATGTGGAATTTATTAAAATAGAAAAACCCATAAAGTGATATGTGGAAATAAAATAATTCAAAATAACCACAAAATAACATTTGACAAATTGCATGAGAGTCTAACATGTGGCAAAAAAAACCTTCATTTATTAGAGTAAATATATTTGTTATTCAAATTGGCTATTTTAGGTCATCTAACAACCAAAAAAATCTAACAACCAAAAAAGTATATTAAAATAAGGAATCCTAATTCACTATATATATATATATATATATATATATATATATATATATATATATATATACACACACACACACACACACACACACACACACACACACACAACTGAACATATACACACTCAAGATATCAATCCAACTACGTCGAAAGCCAAACCAATGTAATGTTCTAGGAATCGACCCACACATAAATGTCAGGTTGTCCACTATTTCACATCAAGAACATCTTTGACCAATCTGTATTTTTCATGTCTACCACATTTTAATGATTTAATTATATGGTCCGTTTTATGTTTACACTAAGGTCATGGGGTATACATAACATGGTGGTCTCACTGTGATGAGCCGGAGGGGGGCAACCGTTGTGCACACCATCCCCAGTGCAACAATCGTTTTCTCTTGTGGTATTTACCACGAAAGGCCACACCCAATCGGGTGGAAGCCTTCTCTATATCTCTCATGCTTCTCTCTCTTCCCCTCTTTCATCATGTATCTTCTTCTTAGTTAGGAGTACACCAACCAATAATATGGTTCTTCTTTCTTATTATCTTGATGAAAACTCATGCCAATTACGGGGTTATATGCCTCACGGCCTAAGAACATCTAAAATGGGGGTTGTGTATGAGTTGTATGAGGGTGAGGTAGAGTTGTATAATAGAGTTGTGTGCATTGAAGGATGATGAGGTGGTCCTTAGGAATTGTGTGAATGATAAGATGAGTATTTAGAATGGTGTCAACTTGTCAGTAAGTCAATACTAGCAAGCCTTTTGAGGCATGCTTTAGGAAAAATGATATTATTTGAGTTATACTGGATAAAGTGCCCAAGGAACCAGTTAGTAGTTTTTGTTAGGCATCGATGGTCGGTTTTGAGTACTAGCTCGAAGGTTCCAGATCGATAAGTCTTCAGTCCTAGGAAGTTCTTGCTAGGAATTAGATCATGGTTTTTGTGCTCCTAGTTGGGTGGTTGTGAGTTTTTGAGCATTGTTGTTTAGTTTAATTGGGGAGCGAAGTGGACACTCAGGAGAAATGGTAATTAGGATTGGAAATCCCATAGAAGAATACGAGAGAAGTATTTAGTGTGATTTGTAGTAGCGGATTTCGAGGATGAAATATTTTTCAAGTGGGTGAGAGTTATAACACATGGTTTCTGGTGGGTTATTTGTAATTTGACATTCTTTAAGTTCTAAATTGGGTTGTGGGGAGGTATACGATGCAGTTAGTTGATGGTTGTGGCACGTGCCACATCATTAAATAGTGATGCGACCTTATATGGGTTGCCCTACAAAGCTGCAATCAACTTAATCCCTAATCCTGGGCTTTGGGCCTTACGTAATGGTGCTAACTCCTAGGTTTTGTATCATTTTTAGCATCCATCTCTAGAGTAAGAAACATTAGCCCCGCTTTGCCTTCTTCTTGATTGTTTGTGCTTTTGGTGATATATGATGTAAAAACAAGGAACTAGTATTGCAAGAAGCCAGATTGAGAAACATTTTAACCTTTTAAGCTCATTCTGGATTGTTGTAAGTATTCATGTTTTAAGTTTTTTGCTTCATGCATAGTAGACCTAGGAGTTTTAGCTTGTTTTGGACCATTTCTTGATGTTTGAATGGAGTTTGAAAACTCCAGATCAAATGTTGGATATTGAAGTCTTTGAACCCCATTGTGGTGAGAAGAAATAAGCTTTGTCCTCGTATTTGGACCATACATGGATTTGGTAGCATTTTGGTACCTTATTTGACCTAGGTTAGGGTTGTTGGTGTTAGGGACATGCAAGTGGAAAAAAGTTGGAAACTTTATTCATTAACACCCTATTTCATTGAGATATGGAATGTTGGAGCTTTAATCTTAAGGGATTAAGTGCTTAATGAGAAATTGAAATATGCCTTGAGAAGTGCGACGTGACCAAGGAAGAGTCGCGACTAGATATTTGAATTAGGTTCACGACTGGTTTGTCGTGATGTGACCAGTAGCTGAGTTGCAGTGTGCTGACCGTTGACCATTGAATTTGACCAATTAATCATTGACTTTTTTAACATTTTGACTTTTGTTCAGACTTAGAGGGTTTAAGTTGTAGACTGAGGTTTGACCTCTAATTTGTATCTACGTGGTTTGTGAGACCGGTTCTTGCGAGTGTGCACGTGTAGCTGTGATTCTCTAGCTTTTGGTTCAGGTGAGTCTTCTCACTATATTGTGTGTGTCATCGTATGTCCAGTATGGTAGTTTGGATGTGTACTATTAAGGTATGAATGTTTGTTTAGGCTAGTTAGTCTCTCCCATTGATATGTTTTGACCATAAGGGAATAAGGTCGTAAGCCTTCTGGCCCATTAGGAGGATAGCTAGAAGTCTAACATGTCTATAACATCCCGAATCCCATGTATAATATTTAATTAATTATGTTTATTTTGACAGGGCAACTCGACGAGTTGGAGGCCCCAACTCGCCGAGTAGAGATGGAGATAGCCGTGTGATTTTTAGAGTCTACTCGACGAGTTGGAGGACCCCAACTTGACGAGTAGGAGCTGAGTGTGAAAACCCTAATTTTCAGGGTTTGCATCCTATTTAAAGAACCTTAAACCCTTCATTCTGCTTCCCTGATCACTTTAGCACCCTAAGAGAAACCCTAAACAAGCTGGTATCATTTGTGAGAGAGAGAGAGAGAGAGGCTAAAAGTGTGTGACTTGGCGCATTCTTTGAAGGAGTTGGAGGAGAAAAAGGCTTGGAACGAGAAGGATCCCTTGGATCCAGTATTCCTTCAGTGTTAGCTGCCATTTGGAGGTAAAAAGCTATCACCTTAGATCTATTCACTAGGGAGTTTAGGGCCATTCCATCTTCTCTTTAGTCCTTTAGTTGTTTGAGCATGCCTTGAAGATGAGACTTCAGATCTAGACAATATGAGGTCCCTTGGGCCTAAAGATTCAAGCTTTATCAAGCTATTGGCCAACTTTCATGCATTAAACCCTCTATAGAGCTTTGTTTTGGCATTTTGAGCCCTAGATGCCATGCATGTACTTAAAGCTTGCAACTTTACGTGATACTTCAGCCTTAGAAGGCTAGATCTAGAGTATGGGGCCTTAGTTCTGCTTAAAAACGTCTGAATGAGAGAATGGACTGAAAGGACTCGACGAGTTGGTGTTAGGGTTTTCCCCAATAGTCTGGACACGTGCAAACTCGGCGAGTTGAGTTGGAGTTTTCCCGATTTTCTGAGAACAGGAGGAACTCGACGAGTCACATAGATGCACTTGACGAGTTGGGTCAACATGGACTGTTGACTCGAGTGTTGACTTTCGTTGACTTTTAGGGTTTGGTCAAGTTATGGATTATGGAGACCATGGAGGGGTAAAATGGTCTTTCACCCTTTCTGAGATTTGGAAAAGGGGTTAGCTTAACATTTTTAGGGTTGTTGTTATAAAGTGTTAATTAGAGATGATATGATATGTAGACGGAGTCTAGACCGATCGTTGAGTACGAGACCTACTTGCTTACGTACGAGGTGAGTCTTCTCACTATACTTACCTGAGTGGTAATACTGTGTGACCGAAGGGTATTATATGAGTCATTGACCGGAAGGTCTTATTTGATTTACTGAGCGGAGGATCTTATGTGCCTATTTTGAGTTATTTTGATATCATGCATTTTGTCTTTGTGATTTATGTTGTATGTTATTCTGTGCCTTGTTGATTTAGGACCGGAGGGTCCAAACCGAGTTGTGAGACCGGAAGGTCTTCACTGAGATACCGGACTGGAGGGTCCGACCCGAGCTGTGAGACCGGAGGATCTTCATTGAGACACATGACCGGAGGGCCCTTATTGAGATATAGCCATGAGAGGCTAATTATTTGTGTGTGATATTTTGGGGAACTCACTAAGCTTCGTGCTTACAGTGTTGTGTGAAATGTGTTTGAGGTACCTCTCAGGATCGCGGGAAG